CGGGATGCAGTGTGTGCGTCTGTAAGGGATGCAGTGAGTGTGTGTAAGGGGTGCATTGAGTGTGTGTAATGAATGCATTGTGTGTTTCTGTGTGTGAAAGGGATGCATTGTGTGTAACGGTTGCATTGCTTGTGTATGTGTGTCTGTGTGTGTAATGCATTGTGTGTTTTTCTGTGTGCAAGGGGTGCATTGTGTGTGATGAATGCCCCCTCTTCAATTTCTTTCTCCCCCCCAATTTCCTTCTCTCCCCCCTCCAATTTCCTTCCCAATTTCTTTCTTCCCCCCTCCCAATTTCTTTCTTCCCCCCTCCCAATCTTTCTTTATCCCCCCTCCAATTTCCCCCCTCCCAATTTCTTTCCCCTCCCAATTTCTTTCTTTATCTCCCTCCCAATTTCTTTCTTTATTCCCCCAATTTCTTTATCCCCCACCACTGTTGTAGCGTGGCCGAGCTCTGTATGATCCGCAGGTACAGAGAGCTTTTGTTTCCTGTACCCGGCCGGACTAAAAAGAAGTGCACACTGTACCCACGGACCATAGAGGGCTTGGGCCGCTACAGTGAGGGAGTGACAGGAGGGAGCGCTGAGTGCTGAGCGCTTCCCTCCTGTCAGCCCCTCTCCTCATGCTGCACCTGGGCGGTGCGCTCTCATGGACGCACCAGCCCAGGAAAAGCTGCAGCCGCCTGAGGCTCTCTGCAGAGAGCTCGGCGGCTGCAGCATGAGGGTCATGGCACCCCCCACCCTGGTGGCACCCTATTCATCCTATTCAGCTGTTTACAGCATTCGTATGGTTCCGGTTCGGCTGTTTACAGCATTCATAAGCTTCTCCGGTTCGGTGGATTGGTGTCTACAGTAGCTGTGCCTGTGTCTCTGGAAGGGAAGATCTACTAAACGGCGGTTTAACCCTTTTATGCCTGGGGGTGCCGTTACAGTCTTTATTAATGAAAATTACTAATACTCAATCTGACTTATGGTTTCTTCAGGTTTATTCTTAGTTACGGATACATAATAAAACAACAAATTATGTTACAGGATAATGGATTTCAACAGCAGATGGTAATTGCTGGACTCCTGACAGGAGATTTAGATGCTTACATCTTTACATCGAGAGAGAGCCAAGAGAGCCAAGAGCCAAGAGACCTCGTGTCTCTTTGTTCAGTTACTATATAGAAGTGTCATAATGACGTCAGACTATAACTCTAGCCATATAAGGACAAAAACCCCAAATCCACATTCCAGAGCTCTCAGACAAAGAAAGCCTTGTGACTTATACCATCTGTTACTTATGCCTCAGACCCATTTCCCCAGGAACCGGAAGGGACACAGTTCCAGGATACAATGTTTGACCATCTTTATTTGGGTACACAGCTTTGCCTCCTTCTCCTACTCCTCTACCTCCTCCTCTACCACCTCCTCATCCACTCAGCGTAACACCTTCACCACCAACTTCAGCACAGCCAGGGGGAAACGACAGCAAACTTGTGAAGAAATCCCCCTTTTATTACACTATTTTCTGCCTATTGTATTCGGTAGATGTAACTACCGAACAAAGACCACCCCTTGGCTTGTTAAACATCAAAGACTGCTCCAATTGATGCCTCTGTCTGTGCGGCCAGCATTCGTACTACCGAACGTCACGTGGCAGAGAAAACCGTGGCCATCTTTGTTCATGCGAACAAAGGCAGCGGTACTTGGTTGTCGAGTGTATGGAACTGAAATCAGACACTCGACTTCCCGGACACCGGTCTCAAACAGACGAACGCTGGAACTCTACTTACCGAATAGCTAGAAGAGCGCTATTTGGTACTTTGGTGCATTTGACAGAGGGGAACGATCGCTGCTAAGAGCCAGGGGAATCCATTCGGTACTTTGTTCGCTTTTCTCCTTTTTCTAAAGTGACCGGCAAAACCCACCAAACTCATGGAACTGTTTTGGGTATCCAGCCCAGGGTGAGCCGGTTACAGAAGACCTCCATGGTTTTTGAGAACCCCTGAACCGATCCGGGTGAAATTTGGATATGTTGGTCACCCAGATCAGGGCTATCAGGGGACATGTTAATTGTGGGGATACTCCAAGCATAAAGGGGTGTTCCAGTTATTGGGGAAAAATGTGATTTTTCTGCCAGGAGATAATTAAGTTATTATTTTATCAGACTTAATTATCTCCAGAGCTAGGGGAGGGAACTGTGGGTGTGTGTTATATTTTTACAGTACGTGATTGGTTAATCTTTGTCCCTCCCTGAGGGATGTCCCCTTGCATGGGGACTTGCATAAAAGCTTGTGTGCACCCATTAAAAGTGAGTCCAGTTGTACCCTTCTTCTTGACTTCGGCTGATGTTTGGGGATTCGTGTGTTTATTATTAAAGGGACACTCCAGGCTCCAACATACGTTAGATGCACTGTGTAGGTTAGGTTACAGTTATTTATACTGGGTGGGTTTATATTATTAAAGGGACACTCCAGGCTCCCACACACGTTAGGTGCACAGTGTAGGTTAAGTTACATTTATATTGGGTGGGTTTATATTATTAAAGGGACACTCCAGGTTCACACACACGTTAGGTGCACTGTGTAAGTTAGGTTACAGTTAGTTATACTGGGTGGGTTTATATTATTAAAGGGACACTCCAGGCTCTACCACACGTTAGATGCACTGTGTAGGTTAGGTTACAGTTAGTTTTACTGGGTGGGTTTATATTATTAAAGGGACACTCCAGGCTCCCACACACGTTAGATGCACTGTGTAGGTTAGGTTACAGTTATTTATACTGGGTGGGTTTATATTATTAAAGGGACACTCCAGGCTCACACACACATTAGATGCACTGTGTAGGTTAGGTTACAGTTAGATATACTGGGTGGGTTTATATTATTAAAGGGACACTCCAGGCTCCCACACACGTTAGGTGCACTGTGTAGTTTAGGTTACAGTTATACTGGGTGGGTTTATATTATTAAAGGGACACTCCAGGCTCACACACAGGCGTAATTATGCACCCCTCGAAATGACCATCTGGTGTTGCTGTATGTCTCTTGTTGATGGAAAATGCTTGCATTTCCGGTCTGGATTGACCTTATGAGTCGGGATAATGTTCTCTGTAATGGCACAAGTCAGCTTAAATGAGACAGGGATGGACTATTTGAGCTATGGTTGCGCTTAGGTCCACCTCGAGTCCCTTACAGGAAATTACTGTATATACTCGTGTATAAGTCGATCTCATGTATAAGTCGAGGGCAGTTTTGTGACCAACATTTGTGAAATATGCTATGCCTCATAGATAAGTCGAGGGTAAATCTTGGGGCTATGAAATTCTGTGATTTTTATAATTATATACACACACACTCATACAAACACACACTGCATTATATACACACACACTTATACAAACACACACACTGCATTATATACACACACACTTATACAAACACACACACTGCATTATATACACACACACTCATACAAACACACACTCTGCATTATACACACACTCATACAAACAATCTGCATTATACATACACACTCATACAAAACACACTGCATTATATACACACACACTCATACAAACAATCTGCATTATACACACTCACTCATACAAACACACACTCTGCATTATATAATATCACTCTGCATTATATAATGCAGAGTGTGTTTGTTTGTGTGAATGCAGAGGGTGTGTGTGTGTATATAATGCAGAGTGTGTGTTTGCATGAGTGTGTGTATAAAGCAGAGTGTGTGTTTGGATAAGTGTGTATATAATGCAGTGTGTGTATATAATGCAGTGTGTGTGTATACAATTCAGAAGTTGTGTTTGTATGTGTTTGTATGAGTGTGTGTTTGTGTGTGAACTGGGTGGGGGAGGGCATTTTTATTATTTTTAATTTTAATATTTAATTTTTTTATTTTAGTATTATTTTTTAGTTTATTATTTACTTTTTTAATTTTAATATTTACATTTTTTTATTGTAATATTTTTTTTTAATAGTAAATTTTTATTTTCATCCCCCCCTCCCTGCTTGTTAGCTGGCCAGGGAGGGGGGCTCTCATTCCCTGATGGTCCAGTGGATGGGCTGTGTAGGAGGGGGGCTGGCAGAGAGCTGTTACTTACCTTTCCTGCAGCTCCTGTCAGCTCCCTTCTCCTCTGGTCCGGTCAGCTCCACTGCAAGTCTCGCGAGAGCCGCGGGGTCAGAGCGTTTCCACGAGTTACCGTGGTAACGCTCCGCGCGGCAGTCACACTGTGAGACTTACAGTGGAGGAGAAGGGAGCTGACAGGAGCTGCAGGAAGGTAAGTAACAGCTCTCTGCCAGCCCCCAACAGGACCGCCGGGCTTGTAATGAGCCCTGCGATCCTGGTCTGTATTATTGCCATAATACAGACACTGACTCGAATATAAGTCGAGTGGGGTTTTTTCAGCACAAATAATGTGCTGAAAAACTAGACTTATACTTGAGTATATATGGTACCCTATACAGGTATTGTACGCTTCCTTCAACCAAACACAAGCCTTCCAATTATGAGTAATCAATATTAACCCCTTAAGGACACATGACATGTGTGACATGTCATAATTCCCTTTTATTCCAGAAGTTTGGTCCTTAAGGGGTTAAACCAGATAGTGTTGTTAAATTAAGACATAATATTACCATATCTTAATTGGACAAAAAATTATTTGTTTGCTTCATTTTAAATATTTTTTATTCATCTTTTTCCAAATTAAATAAAACACAAGAGTGAATAAAACTAGTGTATTCAAGTAAAAAAATCAAGAAACTATGATTGTAAAAGAGTAGAAAATGTAATGAATAATAATGCACATGCTCTGTCTGAGGGTTTAAGGGCAGAGCACCCTCCCCCCAATGTTTCAAGACATCTTTCGACCACCGGGAGGGAGCTGCAGTGGTGAATTCACAATATAGATGTACGTACTAATTATCTATATTCTTGCTTTTGTAGTTGATTACTATAAATGATTAGATGAAAGGATTGTAACAGGTAATAATTATACATTCAATAAAATGAAAGTAGATTAGCGTCCATGGTTTTCACCTATAAAAAGAAAACAATATAATTAAATATTGAAACATGAGATCAATTCAACTCTAATAGGCCTTGAGCCGTTAAACAGTTTACATGGCCTCTATTGCCAGGACATGTTACATAATGAATTTCATGCAGTCCTCACTCATACAGACATCGTCCATCAATTATTTTTCCTCCTAGAAGTCGTCTCCTCAAATTACCACCAATATCATGCAGAGAAATATGGACGTTCCATCAATATCAACAAAACTGTTATAATTCATATCTTCATTCTAATGTCAGGTTCACTCAGAGTGAATAACTACATCATTAGACATTTGGTTTTCTCCCAAATACGCATGCAAACCTGCTCATAAAATGTGAAGCACATAATGGCAACTGGACTAAAATCCTCCAAATGCAATCTTAATTATTAAAAAAACTAAACATTACTTATTCTCATTTGCATATTACTAATTTAAAGGGCTACATTACGTAGTATAATCGCTTTAGCCTGCTGTAGTGTTTATGACTAGAACCAGCGAAAGGGCAAGGCTGTAACCCAGAGGGAACAGTGTCTGGGTGACCAGCAGGTGGGGAGCCCACAGCATGGTGCTCACCTCCTTCCAGTCACATGTAGCGGAGGACAGTGGAAGGGAGAAACCACAAAGTAACGGGAGGGGAGGGGGGAGAGACCATACAGGGATGGAGGAGGTGATAAAACATAAAGTGACAGAGGAATGAAAGACTACAAAGGGACAGAAGGATAAGAGACCATAAAGGGGCTGTGGACAAAAAGACACACAGAGGGACTTTTGGTGACAAAGACACACAGAGGGAATGATGAGGGGCAAAGTGACACATGTAGCGGAGGACAGTGGAAGGGAGAAAACACAAAGTAACGGGAGGGGAGGGAGGAGAGACCACACAGGGATGGAGGAGGTGAGAGAACATAAAGTGACGGAAGAATGAAAGACTACAAAGGGACAGAAGGATAAGAGACCATAAAGGGGCTGTGGACAAAAAGACACATAGAGGGACTGGGGGTACAAAATTTAACAAAGAGGGACAGGGTAGACAAAGAGGCACACAGGGGGAGCTCTGGTGGAATTAGACACACAGAGGGACTGGGGAAGAATGAGACCCACATGGGTGGTGGGGGAAAGAGACACACAAAGGGGCTAGGGAAAAAAGAGACACACATAGCAGCTAGGGTGGGGGGGAGAAAGAGACCGATAAATGTGCTGTGGGGAAAAGACACAAAGGGACAGGGGAAGGGGAAAAAGAGAAACACAAAGGGGCTGTGGAAATACATAGAGGGTGTGGAGGGACAAATAGACACACAGAGGGGCTGGAAGGACAAATAGGCACACAGAGAGGCTGAGGAAGAATGAAACACATAGATGGTGTGGGGGGACAAAGACACATACAGGGGTTGAGAGGACAAAGAGACCCACAAAGGTGCAGGGGGGAAGACATACAGAGTGGCTTGGGAAGGGGGAAAAGAGACACACAAAGGAGTTGGGGGAGAAAGAGACACACAGAGGTGCTAGGGGAAGCAAAAACACAGTGGGTGTGAGGGATCAAAGAGACACACACAAAGAGGCTGACGTGGACAAAGAGACACAGAGCTGGTGTTTCTGTTTGGAAATATGTTTACTACAACCATTGTATCGTAGCCTTTTATTTTTTTGTGTGTGTATTTATTTCTTATATGTTTGAGTATTCTGTAATTTTGTATTCGTTATCTCGTGTGTATTGTACATGTATGTATTCTTTATTTCTGTGTATTTTACACATATGTATTCTTAATCTCTATGTATATTGTGTATATTTATTATTTATATGTATATACAACTGCAATCAAAATTATTCAACCCCCATTGATAATCTGGTCTATTGTCAAAATGTTCAGACTTTTTACCGTTTCATATGAAGAAATCAAACAAAAGCAATTGAAAAAGCTCAATACAACGAATGCTTCAAGTGGTTTTCCCCAAATTTAACACAAATTGCAAGTTCTCCAGTATCAAACTTTTTAAACCCCCTGAATAGAAAACTCTCTGAGAAGAAAGACATGAGCCCATGAAATATCAGAGAATTTCCACCTAGATAATATTTTACGTTGACACTAAATATCAACTTCTTCCACTGAATGCATCCAGCAACATGCAATTTTAGGTCAAATGCTTTATTTTCCTAAATCTGTCTTCGATGAGGTCACTGCATTTTGGCTTTAGTGAATAACCTCCATAAATTAGGATATTACAGGTTGTGTCCAGGGTTCGCAATCCGTGAATTCTGGTATTATCCTGGTCTGCGGTGATTTATACAGAAATATTATCAGCATTTGATATCATATCTAATCAGTGATGTTATGTCTAACCTTTTTCAATTCCTGATATAACAATAGGTAAAAGCGCTCAAAAGAATAACACTCATATCACCACTTTGGTACAATCTGGGTATTAATCTGAAGGGCAAACAAAACATAAACCATAGTGTAGTATATCAAAGTAAAAGGTAAGAAACACAGCAGACGATTTTGATTTACCTTGAATGTGAGTGACCCTCGTTTGACGAATGACTTGAGTGTTGCCTGCCTTATTTTCTGTAACAAGAAGATATACATTTAAAGTATAACCACAACTTCTCAGAATTATTAATATCATGTTTACTTATCCACATATTTTGCAAATGGCCATTTGTAGGGTGTGAAAAATAAAATGCAGAAATCCACACTTCTTTATTGTGTAACTGGGCGCCTCCATCTTAGCTCCCTGTCAATCATTGTTATAAGCTCCGCCCTTTACACCTGGCAGTCAGTATAGAGAGAGCCGCCTCCATCTTAGCTCCCTGTCAATCATTGTTATAAGCTCCGCCCTTTACACCTGGCAGTCAGTATAGAGAGAGCCACCTCCATCTTAGCTCCCTGTCAATCATTGTTATAAGCTCCGCCCTTTACACCTGGCAGTCAGTATAGAGAGAGCCACCTCCATCTTAGCTCCCTGTCAATCATTGTTATAAGCTCCGCCCTTTACACCTGGCAGTCAGTATAGAGAGAGCCACCTCCATCTTAGCTCCCTGTCAATCATTGTTATAAGCTCCGCCCTTTACACCTGGCAGTCAGTATAGAGAGAGCCGCCTCCATCTTAGCTCCCTGTCAATCATTGTTATAAGCTCCGCCCTTTACACCTGGCAGTCAGTATAGAGAGAGCCACCTCCATCTTAGCTCCCTGTCAATCATTGTTATAAGCTCCGCCCTTTACACCTGGCAGTCAGTATAGAGAGAGCCACCTCCATCTTAGCTCCCTGTCAATCATTGTTATAAGCTCCGCCCTTTACACCTGGCAGTCAGTATAGAGAAAGCCACCTCCATCTTAGCTCCCTGTCAATCATTGTTATAAGCTCCGCCCTTTACACCTGGCAGTCAGTATAGAGAGAGCCGCCTCCATCTTAGCTCCCTGTCAATCATTGTTATAAGCTCCGCCCTTTACACCTGGCAGTCAGTATAGAGAGAGCCGCCTCCATCTTAGCTCCCTGTCAATCATTGTTATAAGCTCCGCCCTTTACACCTGGCAGTCAGTATAGAGAGAGCCACCTCCATCTTAGCTCCCTGTCAATCATTGTTATAAGCTCCGCCCTTTACACCTGGCAGTCAGTATAGAGAGCCACCTCCATCTTAGCTCCCTGTCAATCATTGTTATAAGCTCCGCCCTTTACACCTGGCAGTCAGTATAGAGAGAGCCGCCTCCATCTTAGCTCCCTGTCAATCATTGTTATAAGCTCCGCCCTTTACACCTGGCAGTCAGTATAGAGAGAGCCGCCTCCATCTTAGCTCCCTGTCAATCATTGTTATAAGCTCCGCCCTTTACACCTGGCAGTCAGTATAGAGAGAGCCACCTCCATCTTAGCTCCCTGTCAATCATTGTTATAAGCTCCGCCCTTTACACCTGGCAGTCAGTATAGAGAGAGCCGCCTCCATCTTAGCTCCCTGTCAATCATTGTTATAAGCTCCGCCCTTTACACCTGGCAGTCAGTATAGAGAGAGCCACCTCCATCTTAGCTCCCTGTCAATCATTGTTATAAGCTCCACCCTTTACACCTGGCAGTCAGTATAGAGAGAGCGACCTCCATCTTAGCTCCCTGTCAATCATTGTTATAAGCTCCGCCCTTTACACCTGGCAGTCAGTATAGAGAGCCACCTCCATCTTAGCTCCCTGTCAATCATTGTTATAAGCTGCGCCCTTTACACCTGGCAGTCAGTATAGAGAGAGCCGCCTCCATCTTAGCTCCCTGTCAATCATTGTTATAAGCTCCGCCCTTTACACCTGGCAGTCAGTATAGAGAGAGCCGCCTCCATCTTAGCTCCCTGTCAATCATTGTTATAAGCTCCGCCCTTTACACCTGGCGGTCAGTATAGAGAGAGCCGCCTCCATCTTAGCTCCCTGTCAATCATTGTTATAAGCTCCGCCCTTTACACCTGGCAGTCAGTATAGAGAGAGCCACCTCCATCTTAGCTGCCTGTCAATCATTGTTATAAGCTCCGCCCTTTACCTGTCAGTCAGTATGGAGCCACCTCCATCTTAGCTCCTGTCAATCATTGTTTATAAATTTCAGCCCTTTACACCTGGCAGTCAGTATAGATAGAGCCGCCTCCATCTTAGCTCCCTGTCAATCATTGTTATAAGCTCCGCCCTTTACACCTGGCAGTCAGTATAGAGAGAGCCGCCTCCATCTTAGCTCCTGTCAATCATTGTTATAAGCTCCGCCCTTTACACCTGGCAGTCAGTATATAGAGAGCCACCTCCATCTTAGCTCCCTGTCAATCATTGTTATAAGCTCTGCCCTTTACACCTGGCAGTCAGTATAGAGAGAGCCGCCTCCATCTTAGCTCCTGTCAATCATTGTTGCATGGCCCCTTTACGCGGCGGTCAGCATGGGGGCAGCCTCCATCTTGGCCTCCCTGTCAATCATTGTTATAAGAAACCGCCTTTACACCTGGCAGTCAGTATAGAGAGAGCCTCCTCCATCTTAGCTCCCTGTCAATCATTGTTATAAGCTCCGCCCTTTACACCTGGCAGTCAGTATGGAGAGAGCCACCTCCATCTTAGCTCCCTGTCAATCATTGTTATAAGCTCCGCCCTTTACACCTGGCAGTCAGTATAGAGAGAGCCGCCTCCATCTTAACTCCCTGTCAATCATTGTTATAAGCCCCGCCCATTACACCTGGCAGTCAGCATAGAGCCACCTCCATCTTAGCTCCCTGTCAATCATTGTTATAAGCTCCGCCCTTTACACCTGGCAGTCGGCATAGAGAGAGCCGCCTCCATCTTAGCTCCATGTCAATCATTGTTATAAGCTCCGCCCTTTACACCTGGCAGTCAATATAGAGAGAGCCACCTCCATCTTAGCTCCCTGTCAATCATTGTTATAAGCTCCGCCCTTTACACCTGGCAGACAGTATAGAGAGAGCAGCCTCCATCTTAGCTCCCTGTCAATCATTGTTATAAGCCCTCCCTTTACACCTGGCAGTCAGTATAGAAGAGAGCTCCCTGTCAATCATTGTTATAAGCTCCGCCCTTTACACCCGGCAGTCAGTATAGAGAGAGCCGTCTCCATCTTAGCTCCCTGTCAATCATTGTTATAAGCTCCGCCCTTTACACCCGGCAGTCAGTATAGAGAGAGCCGCCTCCATCTTAGCTCCCTGTCAATCATCGTTATAAGCTCCGCCCATTACACCTGGCAGTCAGTATAAAGAGAGCCACCTCCATCTTAGCTCCCTGTCAATCATTGTTATAAGCTCTGCCCTTTACACCTGGCAGTCAGTATAGAGCGAGCCACCTCCATCTTAGCTCCCTGTCAGTTATTGTTATAAGCTCCGCCCTTTACACCTGGCAGTCAGTATAGAGAGAGCCACCTCCATCTTAGCTCCCTGTCAGTCATTGTTATAAGCCCCGCCCTTTACACCTGGCAGTCAGTATAGAGAGAGCCGCCTCCATCTTAGCTCCCTGTCAATCATTGTTATAAGCTCCACCCTTTACACCTGACAGTCAGTATAGAGAGAGCCCCCTCCATCTTAGCTCCCTGTCAATCATTGTTATAAGCTCCGCCCTTTACACCTGTCAGTCAGTATAGAGAGAGCCACCTCCATCTTAGCTCCCTGTCAATCATTGTTATAAGCTCCGCCCTTTACACCTGGCAGTCAGTATAGAGAGAGCCGCCTCCATCTTAGCTCCCTGTCAATCATTGTTATAAGCTCCGCCCTTTACACCTGGCAGTCAGTATAGAGAGAGCCACCTCCATCTTAGCTCCCTGTCAATCATTGTTATAAGCTCCGCCCTTTACACCTGGCAGTCAGTATAGAGAGAGCCACCTCCATCTTAGCTCCCTGTCAGTCATTGTTATAAGCTCCACCCTTTACACCTGGCAGTCAGTATAGAGAGAGCCGCCTCCATCTTAGCTCCCTGTCAATCATTGTTATAAGCTCCGCCCTTTACACCTGGCAGTCAGTATAGAGAGAGCCGCCTCCATCTTAGCTCCCTGTCAGTCATTGTTATAAGCTCTGCCCTTTACACCTGGCAGTCAGTATAGAGCCACCTCCATCTTACCTCCCTGTCAATCATTGTTATAAGCTCCGCCTTTACACCTGGCAGTCAGCATAGAGAGAGCCACCTCCATCTTAGCTCCCTGTCAATCATTGTTATAAGCTCCGCCCTTTACACCTGGCAGTCAGTATAGAGAGAGCCGCCTCCATCTTAGCTCCCTGTCAATCATAGTTATAAGCTCCGCCCTTTACACCTGGCAGTCAGTATAGAGAGAGCCGCCTCCATCTTAGCTCCCTGTCAATCATTGTTATAAGCTCCGCCCTTTACACCTGGCAGTCAGTATAGAGAGAGCCGCCTCCATCTTAGCTCCCTGTCAGTCATTGTTATAAGCTCCGCCCTTTACACCTGGCAATCAGTATAGAGAGAGCCACCTCCATCTTAGCTCCCTGTCAATCATTGTTATAAGCTCCGCCCTTTACACCTGGCAGTCAGTATAGAGAGAGCCGCCTCCATCTTAGCTCCCTGTCAATCATTGTTATAAGCTCCGCCCTTTACACCTGGCAGTCAGTATAGAGAGAGCAACAACATTTCTATTTCTCCTCCTAATTTGCAAAGTTTGCCTTGTCTGAACGGGATTATATCTAATTTACTAAATTTTTTATATAAAAAAAAACAATTTTTTTTAAAAAGGATCTCCTGAAATAAAGGTTAACAGAAGTTATTGGTGAGATTTCAATGTTTTATCACATGGTGTAAAGCAATCATGTCAAAGTCAAAGGCTAGCAAGGGCCAAATAAACAAGATTTAAGTTTAAATGGGCCACAAAAAAACAATATTGTAAATGTTCATAGAAAATTAGATTTATTTTGAAGTACAGTATTAAAAAAAAGAAAAACAGCGACCCCCTCTACTAAATCCCATTCCCCCCTTCGTCTATTTAATCCCAGTCCCACCCTTGTCTACTAAATCACAATGCCCCTTGTCTACTAAACAGACACACTCACTGACAGACATTCACACACACTGACATACACACAGAATCACTCCAACACACACATGCACTCACAGACACACACTAACTGACAAACAGGCTCCCTCACAGACACACACAATCACTCAGACACAGAGGCTCCCTCACAGACACACACACAGACTCACAGACAGACACATAGACTCCTTCACACACACACACACACACACACACACAGACATGCACACACAGCCCGTCACGCGCACACAGCCAGCCATACACACACACACAGCCAGCCATACACACAGCCAGCCACACACACACACAGCCAGCCACACACACACACACACACACACACACACAGCCAGCCATATACACACACACAGCCAGGAATACACACACAGACAGCAATACACACAAAGCCAGCCATGCACAGACACAGCCAGTAATACACAGACACTCAGCCAGCCATACACACACACAACCTGCCATACACACACAGACAGCCATACACACAGACAGACAGCCAAACACTCATATACCCAAACACCCCCAAACACTTTTTTACATTTTATTATTATTTTAATCTCAATCCACCTAGCCTCCCTACCTTTGGGAGAGCTGGGTGAATTTCTTACCTGGTGTCTAGTGGGGCTGCTGGACATTCAAGCAGGGAGGGGGGCGGACAGGCAGCGAGGGAGCACTGATTTTGAGCTGTCCCTGGTCAGCTCCCTCGCGCGTCGCAGATTGATGCCGGGAGCCGGAATGTGATGTCATATTCCGGCTCCCGGCATCACTGCGGGAAACTGAGCAGGGAGAGCTTGCCTTACACTCAGCGCTCTCTCGCCGTGGACCGCAAACATATTAGTTGTGGGCCGCATGCGGGCCGGGAGTTTGACATCCATGCTGTAAAGTTTAGAAAATTATAGTTCTCCTTTAAAGGGTCACTCCAGACCCCTAAAGCGCTTTAGCTCGCTGAAAAGCTTTATGTTTGAAGAGTGTGCCCTATTTTTTAATTTTGGAAATTGTGCAGATTTTTGTTGAAATTGTCACGTTTATAAATGAACCTGGTTAAACCCCATTGGCTGTCAAACAGACAACAGGTACTTTTTCCTCCTGGTTCAGTTAGCTTATTTGCACTGACCTGAAGAGGCAGTAATTGACCAGAGCACCTGTCTTGCCAAGACCTCTCATTGAGTCGCATTGTGAAGTCTGTGACTGGACCTCCACTGAAAGTACGGGTGGGGTTAGAAGGGGAGAGCTTGTAAAGGCAGGGTATCTTTAGGTTTTGCAAGCTGTTTATAGATTTACAATAATGAAAAAATGCATCATTAAATGTATGCAAACTTTGTGGTATATCTACTTAACAGGAATTTGTATTTATTTTGTATTTGGGCAGTAATGAGTGCAGAAGCAGTCATTGTTTCATAATAAGGATATATTATGTTGCATAGGTTTCAATTAACTCTTCACTACTGGGTACTTTTTGTTTAAAATATCTACGAGCTTGGTATAATGAAGATGCATTGAGTTAACTATCATTTCTGTTTGTAAATTGCTGTTTACTGATAGTTAAAAATAAAAAAGTATGTAAGTTTTTATAATCTATATGTATTAAACATTTGCATGATACTATTCGGGGAAGGGAATGTTTTAGAGTATTAAGATATTACAGGTCGTGGCCAGGGTTCGCAATCCGTGGATTCTGGTATTATCCTGGTCTGTGGTGATTTATACAGAAATATTATCAGCATTTGATATCATATCTAATCAGTGATGTTATGTCTAACCTTTCTCAATTCCTGATATAAAACAATAGGTAAAAGCGCTCAAAAGAATAACACTCATATCACCACTTTGGTACAATCTGGGTATTAATCTGAAGGGTAAACAAAACATAAACCATAGTGTAGTATATCAAAGTAAATGGTAAGAAACACTATAGATCTATGTTAGCTCACATACTCCTGAGCCTCAAATAAGCTCAGATTTACAGCGGTTTTCTGTATATATAGCAGAACCTTAGGATATGAGAATATCTCTTTCAATCCCTGAATTATCATAACCAAAACCATTTTATTTTTATTGCAATCCTACATTTCATGCCCTGGAGGTTGTGTTAACAGGGTGTTAGAAATTGAATCAGTGTTGTTATAACATCAAGAAGCAGACAATTTGGATTTACCTTGAATGTGAGTGACCTTCTTTTGATGAATGACTTGAATGTTGCCTGCCGCATTTTCTGTAACGAGAAGATATACATTTAAAGTGTAACTGCCACTTCTCAGAATTATTAATTGTAGCGAAAGTGACCTCACCACTGGTTTTTGGAGGGGCCTGTTTGCCAGCCTCCTGTCCTGCGACTATGGCCCTGGGATGTATTGCCCTTCTAGGAACTGATTTGGGCATAACTGATTTTTATGTTGCTGTTTCTGGCCCTTTAATTCCCAGAGAAAGGATTTGTACTTTTAAACTGGCACTTCGGATGCAGTTGAAGTCGTTGAAGTGGCCGCCATTCAAAAACCGAACACGCGGCGGCGGCCATTTTAACTCATTCGAACGCGGTCAGCAGTGTGTGCAGCCAAATCTCTGGAACTGTTTTCAGCTACCCAATTGCACGAACACCGCTGACCAGTACCTTCTACTCTACTTCGACACTGCGGCTGGAGGCTAAGTTCCGTTCAAAGATTTGAACACTCAAATTTTCTCCCTGTCAATCATTGTTATAAGCTCCGCCCTTTACACCTGGCAGTCAGTATAGAGAGAGCCTCCTCCATCTTAGCTCCCTGTCAATCATTGTTATAAGCTCCGCCCTTTACACCTGGCAGTCAGTATAGAGAGAGCCACCTCCATCTTAGCTCCCTGTCAATCATTGTTATAAGCTCTGCCCTTTACACCTGGCAGTCAGTATAGAGAGAGCCACCTCCATCTTAGCTCCCTGTCAATCATTGTTATAAGCTCCGCCCATTACACTGGCAGTCAGTATGGAGAGAGCCACCTCCATCTTAGCTCCCCGTCAATCATTGTTATAAGCTCCGCCCTTTACACCTGGCAGTCAGTATAGAGAGAGCCGCCTCCATCTTAGCCCCCTGTCAATCATTGTTATAAGCTCCGCCCTTTATACCTGGCAGTCAGTATAGAGAGAGCCACCTCCATCTTAGCTCCCTGTCAATCATTGTTATAAGCTCCGCCTTTTACACCTGGCAGTCAGTATAGAGAGAGCCACCTCCATCTTAGCTCCCTGTCAATCATTGTTATAAGCTCCGCCTTTTACACCTGGCAGTCAGTATAGAGAGAGCCACCTCCATCTTAGCTCCCTGTCAATCATTGTTATAAGCTCCGCCCTTTACACCTGGCAGTCAGTACAGAGAGAGCCACCCCCATCTTAGCTCCCTGTCACCCTCATTAAGTTGGTGCTTCTTTTACACCTGGGGTAGCTGTGTATAGAGAGGTGCTTCACCTATCTTGTAGCCTCGCCAATCATTGTTATAAGCTCCTCCCTTTACACCTGGCAGTCAGTATAGAGAGAGCCGCCTCCATCTTAGCTCCCTGTCAATCATTGTTATAAGCTCTTTCTTTTGCTACCTGGTGCAGCCGTATGTGAGAGCCACTCATCTAGCTCCTCGGGCTAAGCCATTGTTATAAGCTCCTCAGCTTCTTGGCGTAATTGGTGCATGGCAGAGCTTCCATCTAGCCCTTTGCCGCTTCTATTGCAAGCCTCGCCTCTTGCCACTCGGCGTAGCCAAAGTATAGAGAGAGCTACCTAAATTCTAGTCCCTGCTTCAGCTTCATTACAGGCTCCGCCCTTTACACCTGGCAGACAGTATAGAGAGAGCAGCCTCCATCTTAGCTCCCTGTCAATCATTGTTATAAGCTCCGCCCTTTACACCTGGCAGTCAGTATAGAGAGAGCCACCTCCATCTTAGCTCCCTGTCAATCATTGTTATAAGCTCCGCCCTTTACACCTGGCAGTCAGTATGGAGAGATCAACAACATTTCTATTTCTCCTCCTAATTTGCAATGTTTGCCATGACTTTGCATTGTCTGAACTGGATTATATGTAATTTGCTAATACTTTAATATAAATAAAAAACATTTAAAAAAAAAAACTCATGAAATAAAGGTTAACAGAAGTTATTGGTGATTTTTCAATGTTTTATAACATGGTGTAAAGTCTAGAGAAGCGATAGTTCCCCTTTAAAGTGACACTCCAGATCCCTAAAGCAATTTAGCTCCCTGAAAGTTTTATGGTTTTTTTTGTTATGCATTTTTATCCGTTCACATTATACACACTGTGTTACAGATTGTTTGACAGACCTAAGCGAAAATGTTTCACAATAATAGGAACATTAACAGTGTCACATTGTTTCATGAGTGCACAGCAATATGAACGTTTTGTTTTGGAAGGGTGAAATATTTGTGGGAGCATTGTGAGTATGATTGTGATTCGTCATTATGCTTCAGGTTTTTACAAGTATTTATAATAATGATCCAAACATTAAGTAGTTATAAAAATAATGGTAGCATAACAGAATTACCACCTTAGTGGGGACATAAAAGTAATGGTATAGCAATGCTGATTACAGGTACTGATACCAAGTTCTGGAACTGGTTTGGAGTTACTTCCTGAGGTATGTTATGAGCTATGTTAGGGGCTGGGTTATAAACTCGGCTGTCGACATATTGAGCAGCTTGTGCCTTAAGAGTCTGGTGGAGTGGGGTTTCTAGAGTTATAACACAAGTGCCAAGCCACCCTACAAAATTTTGTCTTGGAGTGGGCTGCTTCTCTGCAAGACGCTACATTGATTTTGAATATCATTACCATAGTAAAAAAAAATGCGTCATTAAATGTATGCAACTTGTATTTGGGGTATATCTACTTAACAGTAATTTTATTTGTAAGAAAACCAGCATTTCCTAACTTCGTTCGAACAATATTTCGCATATTTTCCCGGTTTTCGTTTATTTGTTCGGTAGTTCCAAAACTACCGAACCCCGACCACCCCTCTGGCTCATTATCACCAAGGGAAACCATCAATTAAGCGCTCTCCCTGTGTGACAGCTGTTCGTATAGCCAAACGCCACATGTAAGAGAAAACGGTGGCCATCTTGTTTGTACGAAAGTGTCGTCAAGTGTCTGGAACTAAAATTGGACACTTGACTTCCCGAACACCGGTCAAACTAAACAAATGCCTGCTTCCTTTTCCAGAACAGCTAGGAAAGCGCTGTTTGGTAGTTTGGTTCCCACGAACCAGGGGAACAATCACTACTATGAGCCGGAGGGTTCCATTCGTGCATTTGTTCGGTTTTGTGATTTTTCAAAATAGACCGACCGCACAGCCTAAACACATGGAACTGTTTCTGGGCAGTAGCCTCGTGTGTGGTCGGTCCAAATGGTACTTCCATGAAATAAAAAAAAACCTGAACTGATCTGGGTGATTTTTGGATATGTTGGTCACCCAGATCAGGGCTATCGGGGGATGTGACATCTATGGGGATCCTGTATGTTCTGGGGTACTTTCTAAGTTTTGGGAAAATAATGATTTTTCTTCCTGGACATAATTAAGTTAGCACTTTATCTGACCCAATTATCTCCAGGTAGAGAGGGGGGAATTACTTATTTGTTTTGGGAGTGTCACTGTTTGTTAATGGCTGTAATAAGTTGAGTCCCTGTGTGGCAAATCTAGCCACTTATAAGACTTAAAACCGTATATTTAAGCAAGCTGTCTATTTCTACCTCTGTTCTCTGTATTTTGCAAATGTATGTGGCATTCGTGTGTTACATAAGCAAGGTACCGAATGGGAGACCACCCATAGCAGGTCGTGTGTCTCCAATTAGGTACTTTGCAACATTGTATCCGTGTTAATTGAGGTCTGTTGCGGGTGGCTGCCATTCGTGTACGGAACACGAGGCGGCGGCCATCTTTGTTCGCGGAAAGCCAGCAGGGTTTTGTCGTCCAGCACCTGGAACTAAAATTGGCTACTCGGCAACATAAGCCCCCCTAGACTTCCAAGCCGTTCGGGAGTTTACCATTTTCGGGACTTTCATTCCCTCCATTCAGGCAATCGGTTAAAAACAAAGTGGTCCTGATAAGGGAAACTGAACGTCGTTCGGTTATTTGTGCTGGGATCTGAGCGCAAGTTCCCTTAACTGTGCGCCCAGGTCCCAGCTATATAATAAATGGTTAAATAGCTGTACGGCATAAAAATGATGTTGGTTATGGATTTTTATATGAAAACTGTGTTTCTCTGTACCAAGGGATAAACACATTAGCAATGCATTCTGGGATAATTATCTCCTTGGTACAGCAATGTATGATGGGTATTATGTGTGTAAAACCCAGTCCCCCATGTAGTCCCCTACTGGACAAACCCTGTATTGTGACTTGGGAAACCCCTTACATTTGTAACCACATAAATACTGTGCCTTTAAGTAAAAACCTCAGTTGACCTCCAAGCTATGTGTCGTCTAGTTCTTGGGAGGAAGGGATTGTAACTACGCTACCTGCATTCTGCCTGTTATGTACCTGCTTCATCCTGTCTACCAGTGGAGATACCGTGGATAATACTACTACTCCGCTGCACCCTGTCCCCAAAAGGTCCATGGGGGAGCAATAAAGCTTCAGTCTTGTTACACCCTTCATCAAGTGTGGGTACCTGTGCACTACATTGGCAGAATCTGCTGAGTAAGCTGTATCTGATCTGGAGAAAGAGACGAATGGAAACCCGAACTGCAAGCTTTAATCACTCCTGCTCTTAGCAGTTCGGGTGGAAACAGACGAACCGACAGCTACCACATCAGGGTTCGTTACATTATTTATTTTGTATTTGGGCAGGAATGAGTGCAGAAGCAGTCATTGTTTCATAATAAGAATATATTACATAGCATAGGTTTCAATTAACTCTTCACTACTGGGTACTTTTTGTTTATAATAAAAACACAAAAATGTATCTACAATATAGTGAAGATGCATTGAGTTAACTATCATTTCTGTTTGTAAATTGCCGTTTACTGATAGTTAAAAATAAAAAGGTATGTAAGTTTTTATAATTTATATGTATTAAACATTTGCCTGATACTATTCGGGGAAGGGAATGTTTTAGAGTATTAAGATATTACAGGTCGTGGCCAGGGTTCGCAATCCGTGGATTCTGGTATTATCCTGGTCTGCAGTGATTTATACAGAAATATTATCAGCATTTGATATCATATCTAATCAGTGATGTTATGTCTAACCTTTTTTCAATCCCTAATATAAAACAATAGGTAAAAGCGCTCAAAAGAATAACACTCATATCACCACTTTGGTACAATCTGGGTATTAATCTGAAGGGCAAACAAAACATAAACCATAGTGTAGTATATCAAAGTAAATGGTAAGAAACACTATAGATCTATGTTAGCTCACATACTCCTGAGCCTCAAATAAGCTCAGACTTACAGCGGTTTTCTGTATATATAGCAGAACCTTAGGATATGAGAATATCTCTTTCAATCCCTGAATTATCATAACCAAAACCATTTTATTTTTATTGCAATCCTACATTTCATGCCCTGGAGGTTGTGTTAACAGGGTGTTAGAAATTGAATCAGTGTTGTTATAACATCAAGAAGCAGACAGATTTAGATTTACCTTTAACTTGAGTAATCCTGGAATGGATGACTTTATTTTCTGTAACGAGAAGATATTCATTTAAAGTGTAACTGCCACTTCTCAGAATTATTAATATCATGTTTACATATCCACGTATTTGAAAATGGCCATTTGTAGGGTGTGAAAAATGAAAAGTCAGTCAGTATAGAGAGAGACACCTCCATCTTAGCTCCCTGTCAATCATTGTTATAAGCTCCGCCCTTTACACCTGGCAGTCAGTATAGAGAGAGCCGCCTCCATCTTAGCTCCCTGTCAATCATTGTTATAAGCTCCGCCCTTTACACCTGGCAGTCAGTATAGAGAGAGCCATCTCCATCTTAGCTCCCTGTCAATCATTGCTATAAGCTCCGCCCATTACACCTGGCAGTCAGTATAGAGAGAGCCGCCTCCATCTTAGCTCCCTGTCAATCATTGTTATAAGCTCTGCCCTTTACACCTGGCAGTCAGTATAGAGAGAGCCGCCTCCATCTTAGCTCCCTGTCAATCATTGTTATAAGCTCCGCCCTTTACACCCGGCAGTCAGTATAGAGAGAGCCGCCTCCATCTTAGCTCCCTGTCAATCATTGTTATAAGCTCCGCCCTTTACACCTGGCAGTCAGCATAGAGAGAGCCACCTCCATTTTAGCTCCCTGTCAATCATTGTTATAAGCTCCGCCCAGTCAGCATAGAGAGAGCAACAATGTTTCTCTTTCTCCACCTAATTTGCAATGTTTGCCATGACTTTGCCTTAACTGGATTATATGTAATTTGCTACATTTTTAATTTTTCATTGGCTGTCAATCTGATAGGTACTTTTTCTTCCAGGTTCAGTTAGCTTATTTGCACTGACCTCAAGATGCAGTAATTGACCAGAGCACCTTTCTTGCCAAGACTTTTAATTGAGTCGCATTGCGAAGTCTGTGATTGGACTGCCACTGAAAGTATGGGTGGGGTTAGAAGGGGAGGGCTTGTAAAGGCAGGGTATCTTTAGGTTTTGCAAGCTGTTTATAGATTTAGCGTAATGAAAAAATTTATCATTAAATGTATGCAAGATTTATTTGTGGTATATCTACTTAACAGTAATTTTTATTTATTATGAATTTGGGCAGTAATGAGTGCAGAAGCAGTTATTGTTTCATTGTAATATATACCGCGGTTGCAGGGGTCGCAGCTGCAGACCGCTTCAACCTGGTGCCCGCCATGTATTGTGGCACGGCCGCGCGGTATAATTGCCAGGGCTGCACGTGAAGGAGTCCATCGGGTGGCCCATGCTGTTAGGGCCACCCGATGGAAATAAATATCATCATCAGAGGGGGCCCGATTACAGTGCGACCGGGGCCCCTCTGATGATGTCAGACACCTTGGAGGAAGTGACTGGCCTGGTCACTCCTCCCAGCAACCAGGGTTTGCCGCACGGGAGGAAGGAGAGGGAGTCAGAGTGGGAACTCTGACTCCCATCAACCTAAACAACTGGACCCCAGGGAAGTCACCATCCTGCACCTAAAAGTTAGGTAATAGGAGGGTGACTAAAATATTTTGCATGTGTGTGTTAGTGTATGTGTGTGTGTGTGTGTTCATGTATGTGTGTATCTCTGTGTATATGTGTTTGTATGTATGTGTCTGTGTGTTTTTATGTCTGTGTGTCTGTATGTAGGTGTGTGTGTGTGTGTGTGTATTTGTCTGTATGTATGTGTCTATATGTATTTGTTTGTGTGTGTGTGTATATGTATGTGTGTCTGAATGCATGTGTGTGTCTATGTATGTCTGTATGTATCTGTGTGTGTGTGTCTGTTTGTATGTGTTTGTATGTATGTATGTGCCTGTCTGTATGTATGTATGCATGTGTGTGTGTCTGTCTGTATGTATATGTCTCAGTATGTATGTATGTATGTATGTATGTGTGTCTGTATGTATCTCTGTGCGTGTCTGTATGGGGTTGTGGTGGGGAGGCATGGATAAGTTTTGCACTGGGGCCCCATGGATTGTGTGTACGCCACTGATAAGAATATATTATGTAGCATAGGTTTTAATTAATTCTTTACTACTGAGTAAATTTTGTTGAAAAGAAAAACATAAAATGTATCTAGGAACTTGGTATAGTGAAGATGCATTGCGTTAACGATCATTTCTTTTTGTATATTGCTGTTTAGTGATAGGTAAAAATAAAAAAAGTAGGTAAATTTATATAATTTATACATATTAAACGTTTGTATGATACTATTTGGGGAAGGGAATGTTTGGTTGCTCCCCAGATATTTTGAAACTACAGCTTCCATGATGCTTTGTCATTCTAAAGGCATGCAAAGCATCATGGGAGTTGTAGTTCTACAACATCTGAGGATCTACCTGTGACAGATTCATCTGTAGGACTAGTATTGCTGGTTCGTCTAGTTTGCCTCCCTTCGCGGAATTGCCTGTCCGTATGCCCCTATTCGTCTTTTTGGACTTATACCGAATGGAACTACCAAACGGATGGCCACCCAGAAGAGAAGTGTGCTGCTGGTTAAGCTCTTGGCCCCAATTAGAACGTTATGTTTAACCGCAGACACCTCTTACTTATAACCGAATGCAGTGTGGTCGTCGTTCGTATGCCGACCACGAGGCGGTGGCCATTTTGGAACACGCGAAAGACCAGCTATACTATGGAACTATAAACGGACACTTTTTATACCGAACACCACTGAAACTACCGACAGCCCTTCTCATTTGTCAAGGCATGCGAACACCGGTCCGTTCGGGAGTTTGGATGATACGAATGGACTTAACCCAGATAGCCATCCCATGGAGTCAATCGCATACCGAAAGACCTGTGAAAGACTTTGACTCCATGCCGATTGAACTGTGCGTATGGGATCTGAGCGCTATTCGGTAGGAATACGCACTCAGATCCAGGCTATCTGGGGATACGTTGCACGAATGTAATATGTTCGGTATTTGTACAATTACTTATTTTTATGTATTTTTAATGTTTCATTTAAAATGGTGATTTGCATCTGCCTTGGGAGATAATTGAATTACTTCTCAATTATCTCCAGGGCAGAGGGGAGGAAACATTATGCATTATGGGAATATTTTGTGCCGTATGTCTGTCTGCAATTACAGTCTCCCAATTGGTCCCCTAGGGGAGTGTCCACCAAGTGGGAGACCTGCATAAATACGGGCGGGTAGCCCACAGTAAAGCCAGTTCTTGTTTTACCCTCAATGCGGAGCTTGGTCTCGTTATTGGGGGGATTTACAACACACGGTTAGCGACTGATTGCTGGAAACGTAAGCCGCTTGGATATTAGTTCGGCTGTTGGCCGCGATTCGTGGATTTATTGTTCGGGAGTTGGCGTATTCCCCTGGCTTCAGTTCGTGCGTTTGAGCGAACTGAGCCTGCATTACTACAGAGGGGGAACTCAACTAAACGCCGGTTTCACTCCTCTGTGCCAGGGGTGTCTTAACACTACCTTTTGGGCAACCCTGTTTTAGTGATTGAGATATCTCGTATTTCCACATTTTTCAAACAGAGCAGTAGATGTTAGCAAAGAATTACCATTTTTGTCCCATATATTCACTGTGCTAAAATTAGATCATCTATAGAATATCGGGGGGAAAAATCTAAAGTTCACAAAAGGCACATGTGTAGTCACTAGAGGTGCCCCCTGTGGACAGGTGCTAGTAGACAACTGTTTACCTTAAAAAATGCAATAGGCGGTAGTTATATGTGTAAAAGGCGCTTCTATGATAAATGTTTTTAATTTGATCATGTATAAAGTGATTAAAATGAGCTGTCCAAATACCTAAAGTTTATCCTTCACTAACTTGAGTGATATATGGTATAATGGTGGAGAGCTTAATTTAGCTGTCTAAGGATATATTACATAGTTACATAGTTACATAGCTGAAAAGAGACTTGCGTCTATCAAGTTCAGCCTACCTCACATTTGTTTTTTGCTGTTGATCCAAAAGAAGGCAAAAAAACCAGTTTGAAGCACAATTTTGCAACAAGCTAGGAAAAAAATTCCTTCTTGACCCCAGAATGGCAGTCAGATTTATCCTTGGATCAAGCAGTTATTACCTTACATTGAAAGATTATATCCTTGAATATTCTGTTCTTGCAAGTATGCATCTAGTAGCCGCTTGAACATCTGTATGGACTCTGATAAAACCACTTCCTCAGGCAGAGAATTCCACATCCTGATTGTTCTTACAGTAAAAAAACCTTTCCTTTGCCTTAGACGAAATCTTCTTTCTTCCAGTCTAAATGCATGGCCTCGTGTCCTATGTAAAGTCCGGTTTGTGAATAGATTTCCACACAATGGTTTGCATTGGCCCCGAATATATTTGTATAATGTTATCATATCCCCTCTCAGGCGACGTTTTTCTAAACTAAATAGGTTTAAATTTGTTAACCTTTCTTCATAGCCGATATGTTCCATTCCTTTTATTAATTTTGTAGCCCGCCTCTGCACTTTTCTAGTGCCATAATATCCTTCTTTAGAACAGGTGCCCAAAATTGCACAGCATATTCAATATGGGGTCTTACCAGTGATTTATAAAGAGGCAAAATGATATTCTTGTCCCGAGAATGAATGCTCTTTTTCATGCATGACAATACCTTACTGGCCTTGGCCACTGCTGATTGACATTGCACATTGTTGCATAGTTTGTTGTCTATAACAATTCCCAAGTCCTTTTCGTGTGTTGTTATCCCTAATTCGCTTCCATTAAGGGTATACGTTGCTTGTGTATTCTTTACGCCGAAGTGCATAACTTTGCATTTTTCAACATTAAATTTAATCTGCCATTTGAGTGCCCAGTCCTCCAGTATATCCAAATCCCTCTGCAGCAAAGTAATATCTTGTTCACATTGCATTGTTTTACAAAGTTTTGTGCCATCTGCAAACACTGAAACATGACTTTCAATGCGGTCTTCAAGATCATTTATAAACATGTTAAATAGAAGGGGTCCCAGAACAGACCCATGAGGGACACCACTTGCCACCTCTGTCCAGCTTGAAAATTTACCATTAATGACAACTCTTTGTACTCTGTTTTTAAGCCAATGTTCTACCCAAGAACAAACATTTTCAGCTAGACCGATTTCCTTGAGTTTGAACACTAATCTATTGTGTGGAACTGTATCAAATGCCTTGGCAAAATCCAAATAGATCACATCCACGGCAACACCCTGATCTATACTTCTACTTACTTCTTCGTAGAAACTATACTTAGTTAATAGAACAACTATATATATATATAGTTGTTCTAAGTGCTTGAAGGAGGTGCTTAATTCAAAATTCTGTGCAAGTTTACAAAAAGTACTTTTCATAACATATTGGCAAATTCACAAAGTTAATGTTTATTTGTATATTGTTTATTGGCATCTTAACTGTAAATGTGCACCGAATTTTGAAAAAAGCACCTTTTTTCATGCACTTAGAACAACTATGTATATCCTTAGAAAGCTAAATTAAGAGCTCCACAATTATAACATAAACTGCTTACTCTGTCCATTGCCAAATCCTGCACGGTCACTCAGAGTTTTGAAACTTAGTGTTGCAAGTTCTTTGAATGGGATCTCTTTATTGGCAAGTGAGTAATATAAGAAATTCAGATTTCGAATACCCTTGTTTACTTTTGCAAATGATATGCCATGATAGGGGTAATTCTAATTCCTCATACAGTCTCAAAGACAACATAACCAATCCGGCAAATTTAAATGTGTAAAAACTGAAATGGGCAAGCCTTATATTTAACCCTGTAACTTTCCAAAACCCCATAAAACCTCTACATGGGGGATACTGTTGTACTTGTGAGACACAAATATGAGTATTTTAGAGAAATAAAACATATAATGCTGAAAGGTGACATCAGTGATGAACTAATGTAGAGAGGGCCCTTGTGCATACACACATGTATCTGTGTGTATGGACTCAGCAGTCTGTGTGTGTGTTTGGACTCAGCAGTCTGTGTGTATGGACTCGGCAGTCTGTGCGTCTGTGTGTGTGTGTATGGACTCAGCAGTATGTGTATGGACTCAGCAGTATGTGTGTGTGTGTATGTGTGTGTATGGACTCAGCAGTCTGTATGGTCTGTGTGTGTATGGACTCAGCAGTCTGTATGGACACAGCAGTGTGTGTGTATGGACTCAGCAGTCTGTGTGTAAGTGTATAAATCAGCCTGTGTGCATTTAGAAATCTGTGTGTGTATTCAGCAATCTCTCGGTGTTCATATTCAGTGTACTGTGTGTATGTACTCAGCAGTCTATCAATAATTAACATTTTTATGCCTGTGAGTTGTTGTGTAGGAAGGGCCCCAATGTACTGCTTTGCCCGGGGCCTTTAACACAGTTAAGATGGTACTGCTTGTGTGTGTCAGTGAGCTTGTGTGTGTCCCTGAACTTCTTTGTAGTGAGCCTTGTATTTATACAAGTGAGTTTGTCTGTAATAAGCTTGTGTGTGAGTCAGAGTTTTTTGTCTGTCAGTGAGCCTATTTGCGCATGTCAGTGAGCTTGTGTGCTCACTGTAATATTAATTATATATAGATATATATATATTGACTTGTAGTAATGGCATACATTTTTTTCCAGGGCTGCATTGGATTCCCAGTTTGGCTCTGCCAGCGAGTGCGCTTTACCGCTGAATCATCTGTGTGAGCTGCTGCACACTTTAGCCCTTTTACACGCGTCTGGGAGCTGCTGTTGACAGGTACTAGTAGTCTAGAGATTGGGACATGGTGTAGATGCTCAGCTATCTGTATAATACTATAGTGCTGTTCTCTGTATAATACAGATCTGTGTGTATAATATCCCGGGATAGTCAGTGCTTCCTGTATTTTGCTGCTCTTCCTGTAACGGTCAGTGTTCCCTGTATAGTGCTGCTCTCTGTCTTAGGATATTATACACAAACAGACCTGTATTATACAGAGAGCACTGACTCTGGCGTACATACGGGGTCAGTGGCGTACATACCAGGGTCGCAGGGGTCACGGCTGCGACCGGGCCCGGCCCACCAGGGGGCCCAGCCGCCCCTGTGACCCGGTATGTACCCACTGGACCAGCCTCTTCCCCTGGGGGGCCCAGGAGCCGGCCACCCCAGGGCCCCCCGAGGCTGGCCCTGCTGACACCAGGCGGGCGGGCTGTCTAGGTGGCCGGCCGCGAGGGAGCATTCTCCCCTGAGTGCTTCCTCTTCAGCTCCCTTGCGCGCCGCACTGATACCGGAGCCGGAAGATGACGTCAAGGGAGCTGAAGAGGAAGCACTCAGGGGAGAGTGCTCCCTCGCGCGCCTGCCATCCAAACAGCCCACCTGCCCAGGAGCCCAGCAGCACCACTGGACCCCAGGGAATCCCCCCAGCACTCCAAAAGGTAAGGAGGCTGGGGGGATTCAATTTAAAAAAAAACGTGTGTGTGTTAGTGTTAGTGTGTGTGTTAGTGTGTGTGTCTGCTAGTGAGTGTCAGTGAGTGTGTTGCTGTGTGTGTCTGTTACTGAGTGTGTTTGATGTCTGTTAGTGAGTGTGTGTTTGTCAGTGAAAGTGTATGTTTTGTAAGTGAGTGTGTATGTATGTCTGTCGCTTAGTGTGTCACTGTCAGTAAATGTGTGTGTCTGTTAGCTAGTGAGTACGCGTCTGTTCATGAGAGTGTGTGTCTTCAGCATTTACCTTTCTCCAGTGCCAGACTCCCTTGGAGCTGGGGATCCCTCCGCCTCTCAGCTCCGAATGCACATGCGCGGCAAGAGGCGCGCGTGCATTTAAACCGCCCATAGGAAAGCATTACTCAATTGTGAAGTGATTTTCACAGTGAGAATTGCGGAAGCTCCTCTAGTGGCTGTCAATGAGACAGCCACCAGAGGCTGGATTAACCCTCAGTGAAACATAGCCGTTTTTCTGAAAAGCTGTTTTCAGCTGCAGGGTTAAAACTAGAGGGACCTGGCACCCAGACCACTTCATTGAGCTGATGTGATCTGGTTGTCTGTAGTGGTCCTTTAGGTGTGTGTGCATACCGCGGCCGCAGGGTCGCAGCCCTGCAACCCCTGCGACCAGGTGCCCGCCACCATGTGTTGCGGCCCCAACCCGCGCCGAGTAAGCACGGGGGGGGGCCCACGGATCAATTTTCGCACCGGGGCCCCATGGGTCCTGTGTACGCCACTGCCCGGGATATTATACACACAGCCATGTTTTATACGGAGAGCAGCACTGAACAGGGACCTCTGACTGTCCCAATTTATTATACACACAACCCTGTATTATACAGAGAACACTGACTGTCCAGGGATATTATACACAGACAGTAATTGATAGCTGTGCTGCAAAATGTCCTTGGAATTTTTTTTCAAAAAAAAAATGTCCATGGAATTTTTTTTCAACTATGCACTGTATCAAGGATAATGTGTTTGTTTTTTAATAATCCCTGGTGGAAAATAATGAATCTTCCATCAGGGATTATTAAAAAAACAACACTTTGTGTCGGGGCTGGGGCTTAATATGTGGCAGGGGCGGGGTCAAACTGCGGCAGGGGCGGGGTTAAATGTGCCCCCCTACTTTTGTCTCTGGCCCACCATTTGCCCCCCCTAAAAATTAATCCTAGAGACGCCACTGAACGCAGATACAATGCACACACAGACTGATAGTTGTGCTCCCCCAGCTGCGTTCTACCACGCTTGACCCAAGGTAAGTGACTCACTTCCACATACTCTGGCATGTACAGGTCGTGGGAGTCCCTTCTTAGGTCCAAGACCGAGAGCATAGGGTTGACCTCTCTGTTATAAATGGGACACGGTTGGAGCTCCGAAGTTAGGTGGATTGAACGTCCAGAAACAGATTTATTTTCAATCAGCTCAATCAACTCACTGTTCAGTTTACCGACCCCGAATTGAGGGTGGTTTGCACTATTGAGCAAGGGTTGTATTGAATTTGATGTTATACTCCATATTGCAGTCTATTTCTTTTGACTTGCTACAATTGGGGGATATGAATGTTATTATTAAGATGTGATATATAGTGACAGCATCCTTATATATTCTAAAATAGAAAATTTTAAAAAATTAAGTGTAGGCACACTTCAAATAGAGATGGGCATGCTAGTAAATGAAGATCAGCAAAAGACAGACATTTTTAATAATTATTTCTCCTTAATACATATGAAGGAGGAAGTTATGGCAAATTATACGCAAATGATTGCTGCAAAAAAAAAAACAACTTGCAGATATATTGCAATTACATGACTCAAGACAAGGTGCTACTGCAACTAATGAAATTTAATGTAAAAAAGTCACAAGGCCAAATGGCATTCACCTACTCAAGGAGCTTAGTGTGGAAATAAGTGGACCTCTGTTTTTAATCTTTCAAGATTTTTTTCCCCGTAATTTTTCTAGAGGATTGGAGAAAGGCAGATGTGGTTCCTATATCCTAAAAGGGTTTAAAATTGTTGCCTGGAAATTATAGACCTTTGAGTTTAACTTGTGTGGCTAGGAAATTTATAATCCCAAACATAATGATTTACATAGGGGTTATATTATACCCCAGAGTAATAATATATTACAGATGTTAAATGAAAATAATAGATAAAATAAAAATAACATTAAATAAAATTAAATAAAAGATAACACAGAATACAAGATACATAAATGGAAAGGCATAGATGAAAAATTAAAACTTAAAACATTATTATTATGAGGGTTGGTTAGGTCCAGACATAAAGAATAAAAGCATGTAGATAAGGGTTGTAAATAGGAATTTAAATAAAATTAAACAGGTCAAAATCAACATTTAAACCAGATGGGGTAAGAGTTTTGAGATTAAAAACCCATTCCATCTCAGCTTTACCTAATATGTTCTTAATGTTACCACCTCTCCATGGTATTATACATTTTTTTATGCCGATGCATTTAAGGTGTCTTGTGTCGTTGTTATGTGTACAAAAGTGTTTGGAGACTGAGTGATTCAGGTAGCCTTTTTTGATATTTCTACAGTGTTCACTCAGTCTCACTTTAAGACTTCTTGTGGTCATCCCTACATACTGGAGACCACAAGGGCACTCCAACAAGTAGATGACATTTTTGGTATCGCAACTGATAAAATCTTTAATTTTATAGGTTTTGTTGGTGATATTAGATTTAAAACTGGTGGTTTTGGAAGGGACGGAGGGGTCTGTGTTTTTGCATACAATGCATCTTTTACATTTATAAAAGCCACTGGCATTGGGCATAAAAGAATTAAAAGTAGGTTTGGTTTCTTTTGTAAAATTGGTGGTTAAAATGGATTTGAAGTTTGGGGGACCTCTAAAGACAACATTAGGCTTGTCAGGTATAATATTTTTAAGGATTTCGTCTTCTTTTAAGAGGTGCCAATGTTGTTTGATAATTTTTTTGACATGGCCACTTTTGTTATTAAAATTGAAAATAACAGGAAGGGGCATGGTGTTGGTGGTGGGTTGGGTATTGTAAGTTAGGAGGTCTGCTCTATCTTTTTTGGTGATGGTATTTATAGTGGTGTTGAGGCGGGTTGGTGAGTAATTTTTCTCAATAAATTTTTCTTTTAGATAATTTGATTGTTTGTTAAAATCTTCTATTTGGGAGCAATTCCTTCTGAGACGAAGGAATTGGCTTTGAGGGGCACTTTCCAACCAAGGTTTGTAATGGCAGCTAGATCTTTCGATAGCTGTGTTGACGCAGACCTTTTAAAAAAAAATTTGGTGTGGATGGTATTGTCTGTAATGAAGATGTTGAGGTCTAAAAAATTAATAGATTCCTTACTTGTTTCGTGGGTTAGGGTAATGCCTCTATTGTTGATGTTGAGGTGGTGGATAAAAGAGTTAAAAAGAGCTTCTGTGCCATCCCAGATAAAAAACAAATTATACCGCTGTACGCTATCCACACCAGAGCTGGCCATAGCTCCCTCAAATGTGAGTTTTTTACCTCTTCTTATCTGCACATTGAACCACATCAAAATTGAGAGCACTATTGTTGCTTTCTGTCTTTCTTTTCTGAGTTCTGGACTACCAGACGGTGTTGACGGAGACCCCCTCCCTACATATCCCATAAGCGGGGATTATACCGCTGTACGCAATCCACACCAGAGCTGGCCATAGCTCTCTTGAATGTGAGTTCTTTACTTTTTGTTACCTATCACACCCTGAACTTTCATACTATACCATTAGTCGCTTCTACCTCTCTTGTATTTACATATACGGAACGGTCTACACCAGACGCATCCACAGAGGAACTCTATCAAGTGTCCTAGACCATCTATTGGCACCCTAGCAATACTTTACTGGACTATCTACCCTTATTTGGCGCAGCCCTTCCATATCTTTTTGTATCTATCCACCAAAGGACCCGAGGGGTTTTCCTTCATTTGGGTTGCTGCCTACCTTGACTAATTTTGTGATTACTAGCGCTGAATTCTTTTTGTGTTTATCTATATCTATTCCCCTCATCTTTAGCTGCTTGTTCTCCTCAATTATGTCCATCTTTGACTTTAGGAATAATTATGTTATTGATGTTAACAATGTATTTGATTCTGAACCTACAAGACCCATTAGCCCTGTACCCATCAGACACCACACCTTAAGCCAACAAGAACTTTTCATAAAATTAGAAAAAGCATTAACATCTGAAATTAAACTAAAATGGGAAATAGCCACCATGAAAAAATACATAGAAGAGCAAATCACTCCCCGAGGCTTAAGATTGCTCAAACTCCCTGCCTCAGATCAAGATGACTTAGAATTCATGGACGAGTGGTACAGTAAACTTGAACTATGCACATTCGGACTCATGGAAACTCTAGTCACTAAAAAAAGTAAAAAATTGTCACTACTAGACATAGAAATTAATGACTTAAAAGAGAAACTAATGCCATTTATGGATACACGTGTATACAGACAAAACTCTATCCTTATTCAAAGCAAAATAGAAAAAATAGAAATGGACACCAAACACCTCAAAATCAAGAAATATATTAGAGACAAACACGACTACGCAAACAAACAAGTGAGGACATATCACTTAAACAAAAAATACATTTCTGACAACCCTCCTCACATTGAATACTCCTCTGAACCATACAAATATGACAGATCTCATCACCAACAAATTGCACCCAAACCCTCATACCGACCACCACAACACCACTACCAAGGACACAGACCCCCTACCGGTCTCCCTTCAAACCACACACTTATAGAACTAACCACTACCACCACCAACCTACCTCCAAGCCATCCTACTCTCACCCTCCCCAACACTTACCAGCACCCCAAAGATATCGCAAAACTTCATATAAACCACCACGATCACCCCACTATTACAATGTACCTGAACACTCACCCAAACCCCAAAGACCCCAATACGCAAATAGTCACCAACAATATTCCAATTTCACCCAATCACCTACTATTCCCAATCACCCAAATCGTTTCCAATTACTGTCACTTGACTCAGAAATAGAAAACGAAGATCATTTTTTAGAGATTCGCACCCACCCAAATTTAACAGCCAATACACCTTACCCTCCACGAACAAAAAAAAGAATTTTAAGCCCAGAGGTAAACGCAGCGGCGGAAGAGCACAAAAGAGAAAGGCTAGACAGACCGTAAACCCTTCAAACACTTCCTACAACGGTATTTTTAATCTGTCCAACAAAATCTTATCCGCCACCCAAATATCCGTCCTTAATAAAGGTATGAAATTTGCACCGACTAACCCTTTTAAATCTTTCGAAGCCTTTTTAGACATCAACAAATTTGTTCGCAAAGCTACACTAAAGAGATTTTTTAATGACAAATTACCCACCACAACCAATTCTCCACCCCCCATGCCTAGTATCAATAACCCCAATAACATCAACACTCATTTGAAAGAAAAATCCAAATTTTACCCTTCCTACTGCAAATCTGCACCCCTCATCATGTTCGAAAAACTTGTGTTAAAAGACTTTGAAAAAATTAAATATAACAAATATGACTCACACAACCTCACCCATGCCGAGCGCAACACACTGAAACAACTACAAGAAGACAAAGATATTGTCATAAAGCCGGCAGATAAAGGAGGTGGGATCGTTATCCTATCTAGCAAGATGTACATAGATGAGGCACATAGACAACTACATGATACAGAAACATATAACAAACTACCCTCTGACCCCACCCCTACCATCCAAATCACCCTATCCACTTTTTTACAAAAAGCCTTGGATTCTGGCATCCTAACCAAAAACGAATACAACTATCTTAACATCAAATACCCTAAACTCCCTGTCATATACTTTTTACCAAAGATACATAAAAATATTAATAACCCCCCTGGCAGACCCATCGTGTCAGGGATAAATTCCCTACTCTGCAATCTGTCAGAATACATTGACATACTCCTCCAACCATCCGTTAAATTAATGCGCTCTTACCTAAAAGACTCTATGTCACTACTACGTTTTTTAGACAAATTCAAATGGCAAACTAATTACATTTTAGCTACTTGTGATGTCCAATCCCTATACACGATTATACCCCACCATATAGGATGCCAGGCAATCAGAGAAATTTTAACTAAAGAAAACAGAATCCCCCCTGCCCAAATAGATTTTATTTTAGAAGGTATTAATATCATTTTAACCAACAACTATTTTTGTTTTTTTGACTCCTTTTACCTACAAAAACAAGGCATTGCGATGGGTACAAGGTTCGCGCCAAGCTATGCCAACCTCTTTATGGCCGACTGGGAATCCACGGCCATATGGGGAAGGCACGCTTGGTGTACGAACCTTGTAACATATTTTAGATATATAGATGATTTGTTTTTTATCTGGGATGGCACAGAAGCTCTTTTTAACTCTTTTATCCACCACCTCAACATCAACAATAGAGGCATTACCCTAACCCACGAAACAAGTAAGGAATCTATTAATTTTTTAGACCTCAACATCTTCATTACAGACAATACCATCCACACCAAAACATTTTTTTTTAAAAAGTCTGCGTCAACACAGCTATCGAAAGATCTAGCTGCCATTACAAACCTTGGTTGGAAAGTGCCCCTCAAAGCCAATTCCTTCGTCTCAGAAGGAATTGCTCCCAAATAGAAGATTTTAACAAACAATCAAATTATCTAAAAGAAAAATTTATTGAGAAAAATTACTCACCAACCCGCCTCAACACCACTATAAATACCATCACCAAAAAAGATAGAGCAGACCTCCTAACTTACAATACCCAACCCACCACCAACACCATGCCCCTTCCTGTTATTTTCAATTTTAATAACAAAAGTGGCCATGTCAAAAAAATTATCAAAAAACATTGGCACCTCTTAAAAGAAGATGAAATACTTAAAAATATTATACCTGACAAGCCTAATGTTGTCTTTAGAGGTGCCCCAAACTTCAAATCCATTTTAACCACCAATTTTACAAAAGAAACCAAACCTACTTTTAATTCTTTTATGCCCAATGCCAGTGGCTTTTATAAATGTAAAAGATGCATTGTATGCAAAAACACAGACCCCTCCGTCCCTTCCAAAACCACCAGTTTTAAATCTAATATCACCAACAAAACCTATAAAATTAAAGATTTTATCAGTTGCGATACCAAAAATGTCATCTACTTGTTGGAGTGCCCTTGTGGTCTCCAGTATGTAGGGATGACCACAAGAAGTCTTAAAGTGAGACTGAGTGAACACTGTAGAAATATCAAAAAAGGCTACCTGAATCACTCAGTCTCCAAACACTTTTGTACACATAACAACGACATAAGACACCTTAAATGCATCGGCATAAAAAAATGTATAATACCATGGAGAGGTGGTAACATTAAGAACATATTAGGTAAAGCTGAGATGGAATGGGTTTTTAATCTCAAAACTCTTACCCCATCTGGTTTAAATGTTGATTTTGACCTGTTTAATTTTATTTAAATTCCTATTTACAACCCTTATCTACATGCTTTTATTCTTTATGTCTGGACCTAACCAACCCTCATAATAATAATCTTTTAAGTTTTAATTTTTCATCTATGCCTTTCCATTTATGTATCTTGTATTCTGTGTTATCTTTTATTTAATTTTATTTAATGTTATTTTTATTTTATCTATTATTTTCATTTAACATCTGTAATATATTATTACTCTGGGGTATAATATAACCCCTATGTAAATCATTATGTTTGGGATTATATTACCCCCTTTTCATGCATACTCCATTTACATATATCTCTGTATCTCTGTACCTTTAGACCATCTACTTATTTGTTTTATTTTTATTTATTTATTTATTTATTTTTTTAATGAACTTTAATCAAACACCTTTTTTTTTTTCTTTCTCTTTAAAAAACAACTTTCTCACCCTAGTTTTCACATTTAAATAATTTAAATGGACTCATCACCTTTATAACATCACTCCCATACTCTTGAATCCTAATTTTGAAAAGTGATTTTAAAAATTGTCTCTGATTGGCCAATTACACTTTTGGCGCAATTTTCAAATTAACATAGCCCTATTTAAACAACCCCTGCCAGGTTACTACTTTTATCCCATTCTGAAGAAGCCACTTATGGTGAAACGCGTTTATGGTTATTAATTCTGTATTTTACTGTGTATTTTAGATCAATAAAAGTTTTTTGGCTACTTTATTGTACCAATCCTCTTTTTATTGCACTCTTTATGCACTTTAAACAACTTTTTTTTTACCTATTCCTGGCATTTTAACCTTTCCTGGTTACTTTTACTTCCATTGGCAATTTTAAAGTTCCAGTACTCCAAGAAATCCTAGGTGGGGATCATACCACCGGCGCCTATCCATAGAGCAGTACCTCTGCTCTATCTTTGTGAGTATTATTTTATTTTCTCTACTACTCTCTTAACCTGTCACAATTGAGAGCACTATTGCTGCTTTTTATTCTTCTATATTGGAGCCTTGGATCACCAGACGGTGCTGACGGACGTATTGCCGCTACATATCCTATAAGCTCCTATAAGCGGGGATTATACCGCTGTACGCTATCCACACCAGAGCTGGCCATAGCTCCCTCAAATGTGAGTTTTTTACCTCTTCTTATCTGCACATTGAACCACATCAAAATTGAGAGCACTATTGTTGCTTTCTGTCTTTCTTTTCTGAGTTCTGGACTACCAGACTGTGTTGACGGAGACCCCCTCCCTACATATCCCATAAGCGGGGATTATACCGCTGTACGCAATCCACACCAGAGCTGGCCATAGCTCTCTTGAATGTGAGTCCTTTACTTTTTGTTACCTATCACACCCTGAACTTTCATACTATACCATTAGTCGCTTCTACCTCTCTTGTATTTACATATACGGAACGGTCTACACCAGACGCATCCACAGAGGAACTCTATCAAGTGTCCTAGACCATCTATTGGCACCCTAGCAATACTTTACTGGACTATCTACCCTTATTTGGCGCAGCCCTTCCATATCTTTTTGTATCTATCCACCGAAGGACCCGAGGGGTTTTCCTTCATTTGGGTTGCTGCCTACCTTGACTAATTTTGTGATTACTAGCGCTGAATTCTTTTTGTGTTTATCCATTCCTAAAAGTCTCTATATATATTACAGTGAGCACATAGGCTCACTGACAGACAAAACTCTCTGACTCACACACAAGCTTACTACAGACAAACTCACTTGTATAAACACAAGGCTCACTACAAAGAAGTTCAGGGACACACACAAGCTCACTAAAGACAAGCTCACTGACACACACATGCTCACTGACACACACAAGCTCACTGACACACACAAGCAGTACCATCTTAACAGTGTTAAGGGCCCCGGGCAAAGCAGTGCACTGGGGCCCTTCCTACACAACAACTCACAGGAATAAAAATTTAAATTATTGATTATTGCTGAGTACATACACACAGTACACTGAATACGAACACACAGAGACTGCTGAATATATATACACACACACACAGATTTCTGAATGCACACAGGCTGATTTATACACTTACACACAGCAGTGGTGTATCTTGGGTTTGTGCTGCCCTAGGTGAGACTAAACTCGGGCACCCCCCTAATATAAATTTGACCCACACCTTCCTGTCAAGGCCAAACCCCTTTCTCTTTAAGAGCCAACCCTACCTCTGTAAACCCCACCCCTTCCTCTTTAGGCTCCACCCTTTCCTGTTAGAGCTTCACATATATATTTAGAAAACAAATCAGATGAACCAAAAGGCCTTGAATGGTCCAATGGGCTTATAGCTATATCCATAATATTGATGCAAGCAGCAATAAAGGCTGTCGATCCCAAAAGCCTGGTAGAGCGATGAGCAAATACTGCAGGTGGAGAATTACATAGGAAAGATTTGCCTTTTATAAACCTATATGAAGATTATTTAAAATGGGTTATATAATCCAATATGGCAGCCAGATCACATAGATTCAAATAGATGATGTCAGAGCACACGTTTTATCTTGTCACCAGTGTTAAAGCGGCACTGTCATCCCTCTGTCAGGATCGGTTCTTCATTTCTTCCTGTCTGCTCTAATTTTCTTTAAAACATAAGACAAAGTAGGGACTATTTGTCTTGTGTATTTTTCCTACACCTGACCAGCGGAGGAGCAAAGTGTGCTTCATTTACGGTGATAAGAGTGATTACCCACAATTCTTACCTTTCCTCCGTGACCTTGCGATGCCTTCTTTCACTATTGCAGATCGTCCAGTCATTTTGGACAGGAAGCTGGTGAAACTACTGAATTTCGTCCTAACAGAATGAGAACAGTTTATCCATTCATGTTAGGTCGCAATTTGGGACTTTGTTTGAATCGGAATTTAATTTAAATGCATCTTGCAGCCTCTTAGTAGATAGCTCCCTTATTCCCATGGTATCAGGGAGCTATCTATCAAAAGGCGGAGGGACCATTTAGGAAGTGGCGGGGAACACCGCTTCCTGCATGCCGGTAGCTCCCCCCTTGTAATAAACTGAACGAGCGAAGAGGTCTTCGTTCATTTGTTTGAAATTTCTATTAAATTTATTGGTCTTTCTGACAAATGAATAGACAAAATTCCTGTTTGAATGCCCAAGTGTGCAGGAATTTCACAGCACTATCTAGTGTGGGCAGATGATGTGTCCCACAGGGACTTCCTCTACCCACACAAAGATGGCGGTGCCCAGGACCTAGGTCCAGGCACAAAATATAAAAGAAAAAAAAAAAACTGGTAATTTGGGGGACAATTGGATGTAGTGGAGGGGGGTTAAAACAAAACAAAACTGGATTTGGCCGCTTTAAGAGCTGCTATCAAGAGATTTGATTTGGGACTATTTTAATAGTTCTATTTTTTTTTTTTTTTTTTATATAGTTTCAAAATATCTGCCAAACCACATGACATTAATCGATAGAGGTCGCCAAACATAAGCGCATGGAGGCAGTAGACGTATAAAGATGTAAATGACAAAGCTTTGCATTTTAAATTATATTGTTTTCAAACAAGTTATATAAAACAATGGCAGCCAGCCATAATATAGGTTTTAAAAAGATTTATTGAGCAGTTTACTTAATTTCACAATGCACGTAACATTTGTATTATTTTAAATCAGCTGCTCAATCACATGATAGACTTCAAAGGGAAACTATAGTGTGAGGAATACAAAGCTGTATTCGTACCTCTATCATACCATATAGTGCCCCATCCCTCACAGCTCCCCGATGAAAGGGTTAAAAACACTTATTACTTGACTAAATCCAGCACCGATGGACACTGGGTCAGGCTCCGCCTCCGCCAACATCAGCTAGTGGTGGAGGCGAGAAACTAATGAGCTTTAAGACTACCCCAAAAGAAACCATTGAATCAAATTCTCATGCAGAGCCACCCAGAACCACCTCTAGAGCTGGAGTTAACCATGCAAGGTAATTCCAATAATTACAATTGCATGGATAAACTGACAGGGGCACTGCACACAGACCACTTCAATAAGAGTATCTGGTCTGGGTGCCTATATTGCAGGGTGACCAGATGTCCCAGTTTTCGCCTGTTTGTCCCGGCATCTTTCTCGGGGTGCATGAATGTCCCGGTTTTGCAGAGCCGCCTCCTTTACCCATGTGCCAAGGCCGGCAGGGGAGATCCTTTCATCTCCCTGCCGGCTTCATGCAGAGCAGGCTCTGCAATCTGCCTTCTCGGGCTGGTAGGGGAGATCAAAGATATCCCTCGCCGGCCCCAACGCAGTTTGGTCCATTATGACCCCTACTCACACTACACACCCACAGCACCCCTCACTGCAGTCGGTCTGTGTGTATTCAACAGTCTGTCTGTTCAGAAGACTGTATTCAGCATTCCATGTCTGCGTGTGCATTTGTTGGAGGTACCAATAAATATAAACTTTCCCCAGGGGCCTATTATGCTGTTAAGATGGCTCTGATCATGCTCCTACAAAATGTAAATGAAAAGACAAACACTCATTTGAGTACCAGGAAGGGGATGAGGTGTAACAGTCACTTCTGGCCTGGAATAGGTTAAACCCTTCTAATGTGTTTTTATTTCTCTTTTTTTGGTATCGCTAATGGGTGTCCCGTTATTTCATTTTCAATATCTGCTATAGTGTCCCTTTTAGAGGCGGCAAAGTATAAGAAAATGCCATAATAAGTGGAGAAAGATTGCATTTACAGAAGTAATGTACAAGAAGTTGTATTTACCAATATTTAACATTTTACAACTTGGGTTGCAGAAACCAATATAACCTCCAGACCGTGGACTTTATTGCATATGGAGGGACACAACTCTTGTTTACAATGCACTGATCTTAGTAATTTTTCAAATATTTGAAATATAATGTTTTATATTTCTAAAGGGTTGCTAAACCACATTATTTATTGAATAAGTATCTGAATCCGCACAGATTCACATATATCGCTTAAATGGTTTCAGAGATTTTTTTAGCTTTCTTGAAAAATATGCACAAAAACAAAATGTCCACCACACTGTGACCTATCACCTCCATATTTCATATGCAGCAGTTTTCAAATTCAAAATGGCCGCTGACCTTTGACCCCTGTATGCCTTGAGCTACCTATAATAGGGAAACCAAGAAAATTGCGCTTATTGCATCAGGTATAGATTTTCTGGTTGCTTGGAACGTTTCCTTATCACATCCCAATTAATTGAACAAAACTAGCACACACACTTGCAATTCTATAAAATTGGTTTATTTATCATATTGGAAATTTTGCATCTCTAGTGACAGTGATGGTGTCCACATTTACACTATGAACTCCCTCCTGAGGCTCTCGCTATCAATTAAAGACATCATATTCCAACAGTTCTAGTCCATCATCGCTTACAGGACACATCTTGCAGTACCCCAGGAGTTGTCCACATCTGCAAGATATGCTCCTGATAAAGTCTACGTATTGCGATCCACTGGGCTTTCTGGCACATCTCCAATCACACCAGTGAAACAGATCACACATATCCTCGTCTGAAAGAGATGTGGATGGACTTTCTGGTGACTCCTCAATCTCTTCCTCATTAGACCGTCTTCCCTGTGTGTGTCAGAGGTAAAGCGGAGGAGTCCACAACAACAATAGGAACTTTCCCAAGGGCCTTCAATATATCCAGCTCCAGAACCAGTCTCCTGAGTGCCATAATGCCAGGATTGGAAGTAGGCGAGCTCCAGGGGGTCCATGGCAGAGGAAGATAAATATGATGGTTGTATATTGGGAAAAGCGCCATCTGAAAAAAAAAAAAAATTCTAAGCTTTTATTTACTTATTTACGATGTGAACACAAATCAAACAGAAAAATAAAACCCTAACTCTTGTTTTTTTGGTCTACGTGTTTTCCTGTTACTCTACGCTCAGGCAAATCTATCCGGCTGGGATTTACGTAGGATATAAAATTAGTTCAGGCGTAGATTAACAGGAATTTCATATTTTTGTAGGTAAAATGCAGGTAAAATGTATTTGTGCGCATGTCCATTGTTTTCTAGGTCATTTTTATTAATCAGACATCATGATCAAGACAATGTAACAAACGGTAATGTTTAAAAAGAATGTTCCTTTACTAATTTAAACATTTCTAGAATAGTAAATACAAATACCAGTGATCACAGAACCCCACAAGCACTCAGCCCAATAGGATGCACTGCTATACAATATAACTAACAGTATGATCACTTGTACAAACATTAATATCGACGTGTATTATTTTATTACCCTTCCACTTACCTTCTTAAATATTTTGACTAAGCTGGTTTAACCCCTAAACGTTGGTAACATAGATTTATAAACTAAATGTATTTAATACAATCTCTCCAATTCTGTCACTATTTATTCCTAATAAACACGTTATTACATGGACCATGATATCAATAAGCCACTAATAGCAATAATATATACATCTATAGGAGTTCTCGTGTATAAGGCGCCCACATATTCCGCAGCGCTGTACCATTTTATGGGGCCATGTGGGATCCAGCTCATCCTCCCCATGACAATCTCTTTCCTCTCGGCTTCCATGGATTTGCTCAGTGGTTTCCTCTGGGATATTGGCTTCTGCCATGATGTCCTCACAAACTCTCAGAAAGATCCGGTTTGGACAAGTTGCTCTCAGCTATGAGTTGGCTTTCAGTGGGTCGGCTCATTATATTAGCCCAAAGTGGGAGGAGTCACTGGATGTGGGACGTGTTGTGACCAATCAGAAAATGACTTGACTGCCCCCTATTGGTTTTCATAACAGATCTCTGAATTTGGACAATACGTTTCTGTTTTGAGGTTTAGAGACTGTGGGGGAGATTTATCAAGACAAGTGGTGATATTTTGGGTGCAAATTGCTTAATAATGAGACATTGTCTTGGTTTCCACGGTAATTACTTCTTATTTAGCATCAGAAACACTCCTTGATAAATCTCCCCTTTCAATATTCCTACCTATCTACATTTCAATATAATGTATTCCATAACCAGGCATCATTTTACCAAGTATTTACCTGGGGGGAAAAAAAACAACTCATATTTTAAGTGTGATATTTTATTAGATTTTGAAATCTGTTTTAAAATAGAAAATTAGAAAGTTAGGGTGTGAGTGTGTATGTTTCCTCCATATGTGATACAACTAGAGGACATAATTACAATTTTAAATCTTACAAGGCTACTAAAACTCTCCTCTAATCAAATAAATATTGCTGTAATCTGTAATGTGTTTCTATTGTGGTCTTTCTAGCATATATTAAGAGATGTGTGTTCTAGGTGTGCCCCCTCCCCCAGTCCCCCCTTTCTTTGCATATTTGAGGTTCTGACCAGATTTCCTTAATGGCTGATCAACACACCCTCCCTAGGCAGGTGATTGCTGTTTTTTAAGATGTTACCTATTGCTGGGCCTTGTTCCATTACTCAGTATTTTGCATATTTTGGTCTTTACAGAAGTTCCTCTATTAAGAAATGCATGTTCTGGCTGGGGCCCAACTTTCTTTTTAATAATTGGTTCCAAATAGAAGAAATCCCTACAAACTCTCTGCAGCTCGACCCCCTGTTGCAGGAATACCCTGCCTGCTCCCAGTGCTGTATAGCTAGACACACAGCAATCATTCAGAGTAACCGGCTTTATTTCAAAACTCCGTGTTTAGGGGAAAAACTTAATAAAATGGAGAAATATACCGTGTTTCCAAAACAAATTAGATTAAATGCAATAAAAACTTAGAATTAAATAAGAACGATTTAAATGTTCCAGAAAATACAGACAAGGCAGGACAGACAGGATTGGGATATTTTGTTGCGGGTTTGTCTGAGTTCAATCTAGATTCCCATAGAATGTATTCACTGTCCCAGACAGTAAGCCATATGTTGGTATATTCAGATAAGTTTCTAAATAGCTTCACTAGGTAAGTCCTCCCTGGTGTCAATGTTAATCAATGATTACACAATGCATTTTAACATACACACCAAATAGCTTCATTCCATGCAGATCTGGCATTTAAATGTAACTTTATTCTCATTGAATTGTCTATTGTGGCAAATCACGTTTAGCATCTTAAAGGATTCCAGACTTCACATTGACTAAGGGGTTAATCTGAAAAACCTGCATAGACGATCTATGTATATTAATGGAATTACACTGAAACCGGGGAACATGTCTTGCAGAGTTTGCAGGTTTTTCAGATTAACCCCTTAGTCAATGTGAAGTCTGGAATCCTTTAAGATGCTAAACGTGATTTGCCACAATAGACAATTCGATGAGAATAAAGTTCCATTTAAATGCCAGATCTGCATGGAATGAAGCTATTTGGTGTGTATGTTAAAATGCATTGTGTAATCATTGATTAACATTGACACCAGGGAGGACTTACCGAGTGAAGCTATTTAGAAACTTATCTGAATATACCAACATGTGGCTTACTGTCTGGGACAGTGAATACATTCTATGG